GGACAACCAGGGCTATATGGAGAAGCCATATCTCTAAAAACAAAACAAACAAACAAGAACAAAGAACCACACAGTCAAAAAGTATTTATCATAATAGAATATGTGATAGATAGGATCTTTGTCTAAATAAAAACATTCAAACAATAATTGCTTGATTTTTCTTAAGTACAAATTGTTTAGTCGTGTTTATGAGAAATGTTTCATTAGGGATTCTATTTTAGGGCAAATGTATAAAAGTTTTATTGAGACCCAAAAGTTTTAGTGTGAAGTAATAATATTGGAAAAAAAGTATCTGAGCAATCACCATTAGGTCTTCAAATTTTTACTTTCAAGAATCTTTACTTCCATTAGCAAGAGCTGCTTGGGCCAGCTGTTGGGAGCGCAATGTCTCATATTCTAGTGTGTTGAAGCAGGGTTGGCTTCTGAGTGTCTTCATACTTACACACAAGTGGAAAGCAACAGTAACAGCCTTTCCTTCACCCCTTCATTGGCCTTCATTTCAGTAAAGTCAAAATGGTCATTCCATCTTTCAACTGGAGTCTCTAATCTCTCTGTTCCTGACCACAAAGTCCCTCATTATCAACATCTCTACTTTTTTGATACCCTCTTGCCTCACTTCAGTAAAACCCCCAGATTCCTTCATTTCCACACATTTTTCTCTTTAAACTGCCTCTTTTTCTAACCTTCCTCTGCCCCTGAGGCCTTGTGTCTTTGATATTCACCAGGGTCTTACCTGCCATTTTCAGACTCTCATGGCATAGTGACCATTCTTTTTGTTCCAGTCAGGTGGACACCTCAGGAGCACAAGAGAAACCTACTATTTGTCACGTTTTAACGCATGTAACATTTTCTCAACTGTTTTCTGTGTATGATTTCATTCTTTCTTCTGGAAACTGTGAAGGAGATTTTTGTCCGTTTTGTAAGTTAGAGATGGTCTCATAGGGAATCCCATTTCTTAAGGTGTTCAAAGATACCATCAATTATAGACACCTTGTTATTTTTAAAAGTGAAAGAAAATGCTGCAAATCTCACTGTCAGAGGCTGTCAGTTGACAGACACATTCTGATCGCAGGCATTGTAAAGGTACAAAAAGTTTTTTCTGAGAATCAGTGAGCTATGACAAGCGAAAGACACACAGATCAAACCCAGGCAATTGGAATCCAGAGAATAATTGCCATAATTATGTTATTCCTCCTCATAAAAACTATTCAGGCATACAATGTAGCATGCTTTAAATTCATGGCCTCATACATTATCTGAGTCTTTACTTTTGATTTTTAATCTGTTTTTTTTTCCCACTCCTTTCTGTTCCTGCCTACAATGGTTGCTCCAAAACTTTTGACCTTCATCAGGAAAATTGAGACTGTCAGTTATCTTTTCCCTCAGCTGCTTCTTCCCTGTCTCTCATGTTACCCACGACACCCCTGTCCATAGGCACCCTTGCTGTCCTGTTCAGAAGGCACGCTGTCTACCTTTCTCATAGGTGTTGTCTCCTCTTCTTTCTTCTGTTTCTCACTGCTGACATTTTGAACTACCCTTTCCTGATGCTCAACCCTTCTCCTCTATTTGGTTCTCTGCCTCGGCTGTCAATATGACCAAGATTCATTCCCTCATTCTCTCTGTATATCAAAATTCTATAGGGAAAGGCTCAGGTACTGTCATCATTTTCTAACTTTTCATTCCTGTCTTTGCCCACCACAACTCCACTAACACTGAGATTAAATCACTCTTAATGTTCTCATCACTGACCTTCTATTTTCTTAGATTCAAACTTCTTTTCCTCCATTCTGTTGGAATCCTTTACTGATTCCGTGTGATTCAATTGGCTTCTTCCTACTTGGTGAAAATCTTTCATCATCTCCCAAGTGTTCCACACACTGCCCTTTCTTCTGAGCTCTTTGTTCCTCACTTACTTAACCATTGACATTACCCTACTTTCCATAATTTTGATGGTTTAAACGATTGCCTCTATTTGATGGAATCCAAAATCCATCCTTCTTAGCCATCTCACAGGTTTTCCTGTAGTTGCCAAGTCTCTGTCTACACAGGATCGCCATTGGATGTCATCCATCTCACCCTTAATGTGTGCAAAACCCCACTCCACACTTTCCCAAATCTGCTCTTCAAATTGCTTTCTCTAAGCCAAAGGTAATTCCAAACCTCCAATTATTTAGTCCTCAGTTTGGTGTTAACTTTAACCTGTTTTTTTACTTGCTTTCTCTATCCAGTCCATCAAAACATCTTGTGCCTAGTACAAAAAAATAGCAGGGGTTTGATCCAGAGGAACTCTCTGTGTCTATGTTCACCGGATACGCTAAAATGATTACTTTTTTGATAAGGATGTGTAAAAGGCAGTGGGCTTCTTGAAATCCAGAAAATAAGACCACAGTTTCATCTCCACACCCACTTGGAGGCAAACAGAAACAGGTCTTATCTGCCCAGTTTAAAGACAGAAACTGAAGCAAACTCAGTCCAACTGAGAGAAGAAGGAAAAACTCAGAGCTCCCTTGGACTTCTTCAGAGTCCTTCCTAGTGTTACCACTGTAGGAGGTTGGTTTTCTGAGGCTTCAATAAGTCTTACCAGAAGGCCCCTAGGTAATCACAGATACTGTCAAGTTGGCACAAAAGCCTTCAGTTAATAGACAGTACAAGAGTTATTTTGCTTTGCTTTGTTTTTAGAATGATAGGGAACTTCTAGGAAAGATAGAGAAGGAAGAAGACCCTTCTGCTTGAGAGCCCTTAGCTGGAAATGTTTTGGTTAAGGTGGGTGCCAATGCCCAGCAAAGCCCTTGAGAAGTGATGGGCTTAATCTTGGGACTAAGGTCCTGATTGGCTGAAGGCAAAGCAGAAGGAAATCCATTCAAGCTGCTTCATCTTTTTGGAGAGCAGGAATTCTGGGGAGAAATCAGAGGGGAAAAAATAAGGACGCCCCCAGCAGTCCAGACTGAAAACAACAAGGACTCTCTTGGATCAAAGATGAGAAGTTAATAGCCTCCCATTCATCCACTTCAGGACCTCAGTGGGGCAGAAGAAATGCATAGTCTAGCATGAACTTGCACTTGGGGTCTTCTCCTGACCCCAAGATCTCATGTAGTCCCCCCCCACACCCCTTGAAACCCAGACGAGGCATAGTGAGAAGCCGGGTTCCACTATCTCCCAGATGGGCATCAAGATGAGTCCCAACTTTGCAACACTGACTCACCAGTTAGGTAGCTCCTGGGAGCCTGGACACAAAAAAAGGCGGGCGTGGGCTCGGGTTAAGGAGGGGATTGCAGTCAACCCCCTGGTTTAGAACTTCAAACCTCTGCGGGGGAGGAGCAAGAAGGGTTCTTCAGATTGAGACCGGGACTTGGGGGCGAGAGGCAGCACAGTTCGCAGGTCCTTTGACGTAGTGAAACACTCCCACTGCTTAAGAAGAGGCTCCTTGGCATCCAGGACGCGGAAGCTGGGCACAGACACCTGCTTAGGTAGCAGCCTGAGAGTGTCCTCTCTGCGCACTCGAGGGATTGCGGGAAGCGCAGGTGAGCGCAGAGCGGCGCCCTACAGACCCACAACAGAGGCGCGGAACGAGGTGAGTGGGGGCAGAGACCCTGAAGCCTGAGGCTCTGCGTGGGAGGGTGAAGCATACTAGAGTAGATTCCTGCTCAAACTCGCCAGCACCGGGCTATCAATGGGGCTCATAAGGGGGACTCCTGCGTTAGGGAGCTCACCTCTCTGAAGCTCCGGAATGTAGACCCTTTCTGAAGAGTCTTTATCAGCAAGGTTATTAGCACAAGCACCCCAGAGTCCCAGAGTATGCTAACTTCAGCACCCCGGACAGCGCTCCTTTCTTTAAAAAAAACTTCACGGGGCTATTAAAGCTGCAATTCTTGAACAAAGAAAACCTTTGCGTGTGACTTTGATATTTCAGTTTAATAAACACAGTCTTTTCAAGTAAAACTAATCTGAAAATGTTATAAAACTAAGACTTTTGAGTGGTCCGCTATTTCAAACATGATCAGGGAAGACCATGTTCAAAGACAAGCTCTGAAATATTTCTTTAGCAGCGCCTCCATCCGTCCCACTGCTGAGCAGAGAAGAAAGAGCCTGCCTACTGGTGTTATAATCACTAATGTGATGTGGAAGTAAGCGGGGGGGGGGTGTCCTTCTGTATTTTTTTATGTTGAATTTTTGTTGGGGAAAAATCAGATAAGCTTTTAATTTGGGAAAAATTGTAATGTGTATAATTTTAAGGGTGTAATCTTTCCTGCACTAGTCTAAGTGAAAACAGGAGAACAAGTCAGAGGTGACATATGGTTGTTCAGATGGCTTTATTACAATAGACACTGAGAGCCAGGAAAGTGGAGGGAAAGAGCATTTCCCTTTAAGTTCTTGAAGTTCGCTGCAGGCAGAGAGAAATTAGAAAGCATTATCTTTATTAAAGTCATATCGGGATTGCTTAGCATTTAGACTTGCAAAGTATCTATCAGTTTTACTTTGTCCTTCAGTTTCAAAATACATTTATTACAAGTTAGGTATCAGTTGTGGATTTTTTTTCCTATTATAAAGTTTTATAAGTCTAGCATCCTTTAAAAACTAAAAGCTACTATGAGCATAGAAACATACAAAGACAAAAGCTATAAAATTCTTAATTGTAGTGTGGTTTTGTATTAAAAGGTTAGGTTTAAGATATTAAAAAGTAAAGTCATTTGGCAGAATTTTAGTTTTCACGTAGTATTTTTTTAAACTACATTCTAGGGGAAATGGTTCCACTTAACCGTCTCACAGGGAGCACATCTTGGGAATTCTTTTCAGCTTAACTGTCTTGGTTGTGCACAACCTGGACTGGAAATGGGTCATCTAGGGAGAATGACGTGGAAGAAGGGTGAGTCTCTTCCTAATTAGGAATAGTGGTGTGCTTCTTCTCCTGGGACTGAGATTCTCAAGGGTACACTCCTCTCTCTTAAGGAGTGGAACACAAGCCTGGACTAATGTGTTTCCATGTGTACAGTTTCAGGACCATGGCTGATCCTAGGACCAGAAGAGCGATCCAGTGCCCCCTGAGCCTCACCTGCTCCCTGCTCATTGTAGGAACGTGCTGTGTGTCTCCTTTGTTCTGTCACAGCCAGACAGACCTGTTTGCTCTTAACCAAGCCGATCCTCAGTGCTGGGAGTCCTCCTCAATGCTCCTCTTGGAAATGCAAAAACCTCGTGTTTCCAATACTGTTTCTGGCTTTTGGGATTTTATGATCTACCTGAAGTCGTCTGAGAACTTGAAGCATGGGGCACTGTTTTGGGACCTGGCCCAACTCTTCTGGGACATCTATGTAGACTGTGTCCTTTCCAGGAACCATGGCTTAGGAAGGAGGGAATTGGCTGGAGAGGAAAAGAAAGAAGAGAAGAGCTCCTCAGTGCTGCATTTGGGGATTAAACAAGGTGCATGGGCCAGGCCATCCTGTGTGACATGTGAGGAAGAGGGAAGTGCCCCAGGGAAGCTATTTTCACATACGGTGCTTTAAAGGGGTGGACGTCAAGAGGGTTCATATAACAGAATAGTTGTTCATGTCAACATAGTATCTTCACTCTAGTACTTCCTGTGAAAAGTCATTAGGAAGAGGAAGTGGGGACCCATGTATAAATTGCAATGTAAAGATGTAAGACTTCCCCCAAATGAAGACTTATTTTTTATTTAATGCTAACTTGAATGTAACTTGATGCTTCCTTGACGTGGAAATAGTAAGAGGTGGGTAGGTGTTGGGGCAGGGAAATATTTATAGCATGGGGATTCTTGTCCCCTTGAAACTGAAAACAAAGCATCACTTTCATGCAAATAAAGTATCTTGAGAGATACTTAACTGATGTTATTTAGAGAAAAGTATCAACCTACCTATATTTATTCCTTGTTGCTGTTTCAATGAATCACTAATAAGACATTAACTTCTACTAAGTACTTAATTTTTAAAAGGTTGTAGCTTCTTGAGAGTTGGGAATTTTTTTTAACTGCAGTAAATACCACATACTAATTCAAATATAGTCTTCGCTAAAAGTCTAGGAGAAATGCTACATTTACAAAATTAGAATGTAAGGGAGTGAACCCCTGTAAGTTATGAGAGATACCTGGGCCCTAGTCATACAGTTTTCCTTCCTTCAATAAGGTTCCAAATCTAGTAGCAGGGGCTGTCCAGGTATAGCTAGAATCATTTGTGTACTAGGCCTAACTAAATACTGTTAGCCAATGTTTAATTGTGAGCATTGTTATGTGTCTCTAAAATGGTTCAGTTGAAGAAAGATCTACCAATAACAGTTGCACAGCTACCCTCTCCTAAGATTTTACAGGGTGCTTATCAAATGCATAGCTTGTTCCTTCCTCACTAAAAATCCCTTAGGATTCACTGAACTGAGAAACCAGACAATTCTCTACACCTATTTTTATAAATAGGTGTCACAATAACTTTTCCTAGTTTTACTTTTCAGATGAAATATTCTCTCAGCAGATTTGCTACTGAAGTACAAATACATGATGACCATCTTTAAATGTTGGTTTCTGGTATTTCAAAGACACAATGAGCTGAAAGTGCCCAGGTGTCAGCATCCGTTAGTAAGGGCCATACGTCTTCTTCTTCTGAAGCCCTCTGATTACAGTGTAGAAATCCTGCCTTCACTTTCCATAATTATAACAAATGTCTACAGAATAAATGAAGAGAATACTATTATGTTCAGCTGAACATGAAAAAAAATTATGCCTCTAAATCTTCAGCTTTGGGAGTCACTTTCTGCTCTTCACTGGAGAGTTGAGATAGACTCAGCTGGTCTGCAAACTTTAGGAGAAGCTGATCTGGAAACAGCTCAGTAGCAGAAGCTAACATTTCCCTTTATTAATGTTATTTTAATGTTTTGCACAAGCAATTGTTTGAAGATCAGGAAATGAGATTTTCCATTTGGTTGGTCTAATCAATGGATGAGGTTTTGGGTCAAGGAGATACTTGTTCGAAAGTTAAATAGTTACAGGAACACTGTGATTTCCTTTCAAGAAGCCTCATTCAATCTCTAGTGGTTCAAGCAGGCTCTGGATGTACCATGATGGATCCTCTAGTGAATTTTGCTTTTGTTCCTGAGGATGGAGTGCTACAAAGTTGGAATGAAGGTGGGGGTGAAGAGGTGTTTGTCTCCCTAGTTCTCAGGTTAATCATAGCATTAGGTCAAAAGGACATAGCTAAAATTACTGCATACATAATATACAAAAGGGTTCTGTTCTAATGTCTTTACAATCATTTACTTTGCAGCCATTTATGAACTCTTCCTATAAATTATGTTTTTTGCTAAAATATGTGATCCATGAGGTACTTCGTAGTATGTCATATTTGTTAATATTGCACCATCAAATAAGAAAACAAGCGACATCAAATAAGTATGTAATCTTGAGAAAATTAGTGTATTCTTACTCTTTTCATCAGAAAGAAGAGGATATGGAAAACTTAGATGAATCACCAAGTCTCTCTGTGTTCTCTGTTTGTTTGAGTGTTCTGAGATTCTATGAAAAGCCCTTACTAACTCTGAAGACACTGGAAAAGTTTTACCCCCAAGAATACGTGACCAAATTGGACAATGACTGGGACACTATGGCTGTTTATAACAATAATAAGCAGGGACAGAGGAAGGCAGACATGAGAGCTCTAAAAATTCTGAGGGCTACAGATGACTTCATGGGTAAAGATTCCAAAGATTACTTTTAGTCTAGAAAGACATTAGCTAATGATATCTGGAGGCTGACTAATACATTTTATGGAACCTCTGAATAGAATCTATATACCCAGGTTATATATAGCCTCTAAATTCTGATGGGGTTATGGTTCTGGAAAGGGGAGGGAGAGAGGAAGAGATGGAAAGTAATGGGGAGAGGGGAGAGAAGAGGGGAGAAAAGGAAGAAGGGAGAAAGGAGAAGAGAGAAGAGAAGAGAGGAGAGGAGAGGAGAGGAGAGGAGAGGAGAGGAGAGGAGAGGAGAGAGGAGAGGAGAGGAGAGGAGAGGAGAGGAGAGGAGAGGAGAGG